GCAGAAGCATACTAGACAACTTCAGGTTGAGTTGAAACATGCGGCCACGCCTACCCGATCTCAGGGATTTCGAGTATATATGGTAATGATGGGCTACACTGTGAACACAGCACGACCCACCAAAATGAATGCCGTGGTACGACTCCAAGCATATTCGCCTTTCACCCAACTTTCCCGAAAATTCGCTGCCAAATGGAGTGTGGGTGCCGAGCCCCGAGAATTACTGGCTTTCCTGCATTACCAGCAGGGTGTTATAGTGTTATACATGGCGGTACTGGGACAGGACAACCAACAATCAAAAGGTTGCAGGCAACATCAAATACGACTTCTTTTGCAGGGATAAAATACGGTCGCGTAAGTGGAACCTCCAGGATCTCCCCGATTTCACGTTATTGGTGAGGCTTGCAAGTGGAGCCAGATATCTGACAGATACTGATAAGCAGTGATAGCCAAAGTTTACTTCAACTGTTTTTGCAAAACGTCTGAATTCGGCCTCGTTTCGTCTTTCAGAAGGACACCCATGAGTCAGAAAAATTCTCTCTAGGCGAGTTGTACCCCTCTGCTTCCACCAGCTAGTGCACTATATTGCGCTATGCAGCGATAGTATAATATTTCCCATCGCTCAAAAGTGGGCCTCAGTACGACCTCCAGCATGGAGCAGCTATCGTCGCTCAGTTTCTGAGTCATCTGGTATTTCTTTTATGAGACGGTAGAAGGGTCTGACTAATGAGTCCCAGATTGATGAAACTTGTCCTCAGCATTGGCTCTGTCGTCACTTTACGGTAGTAACTCCGTCCGAAGCTGAAATGAAAGTGAAGTTAGCAGTTCCATAGTAGTAAAAGATGTAAGATGTCGACCCATGTAGGTAGCCCTTTCTCGAGTTGACACGTTTTAGGATGGTGGCTAGACGATCTTGCTCCAGCTTCACAAGCGTTCACAAGTTTTACCAGAGTGAGATTTGTAAACCGGAACTAGGGAAGCAAATGGTGCAAAATGCCCCCCCCCCCCCGACAAACAGCGCCCGTAACTTAGCTGATGACCGAAGGTATTAGGAAGCACTAGGATTGCAGGCACCAACGTAGGTGAGGAGCCTTCGGGCCGCCCCTCTTCAATCCTACCTCAGAAAGCTTTGACTCAGAGCGCACACGACCACAGCCCGGAATGGTAGTCCCGCAGAGCAGACATATTCTCCACTAGGCCCCGATTAGAGAAGGGATACGGAGGTGCTGACGAGTGATCCCTCCCAACTACATTAGCGCGTGCCAGTTTACCTCTTCAAGTATATGCGTTTTATGGATCAAATGTTCTTCATTCTTTCCAGAAAAGAACTTCTCCAAGAAATATGTTCCTTACGGGACCACTGTGGAAACTTGATGTCAATTCGCGATTCTTCATCGCGTTTCACAACTACAGCCTCATTTCATAAAAATCATTTTCTTTGGAGAACCATACAATCATGTCCGTGAATCAAAAGCATTGCTGCAAATCCAGATTATCCCTTTCCGAACAACTTCCTTTCTTCGGTAACTATTTCTTTGATTGAAAATTTCTCCCTTGGGTGGAGTATGGGTTTGTTTTTTAAATTGTTGCAGAAAACTTCCAAGCCATTCTAGAACCCATCTGCCAGACCCGTCATCTGTCACATCTGTCAGACAACTTACAAAAATCCTTTAAAAATATTCCTTCACGTGAAAAGAATAAGAAATCCCCCAGCCTACATCTCATTTCTCCTATTGCACCACACACTTCGACTTCTTTGCAAGGGTGTAGGAGAAGTGTGTAGCTTTTACATAACGCCTCCGCTAAAGAAGGTGTGTTTTCAGGGGCCTAAAGGGAGAAGAAATCACGAGCATTATTCTTCGCCTTGGAGTAGTTTTCAGCGCTGAAAAGCGCCTTGCGCATACGACTCCCTCTGCTCCCTGCCCAACCAAATAGCCCTCCCCCTGTGAGTTGATAGACGAGGGCAGTTGGGCCTGTGCCGGGGGCTATTGTCAACCCTCTGTGATCTGCACAACGATGATGCGCCCAGTCTAGCTGACCGATGACGGACCTGTTGATAAAAATGATAACAATCCCTCAGCTGCTTGCCAAAATCCTCCTGGAATTCAGAACCCATTTCAAACGAGCTACAGTTCTGATTGTAATGGGAATCAGGGTACGCCATACGTTGGGGCATCCCCACCGAGGGTGGACGTATTTGGAAGTTGGAGGTGAGAGGGTCGTATTTGCTTCCGAGAGGAATCTTTTCGGTTATTCGCTGTTCTCGGATTTCTTCGTTGCAAGGGTTCCACTTTGAAGTGCGCTTCATCTCCTTCACACCCCCACCCCGCCTCTGAAGCACCTTCTTGGGGAAAAGTGGAGAACTTCTCAGTAGGAGTTGGGAGATTTCAGGAAGATGATAGGTGAGTTAAAGTATGGGTAAGGGGATCGTACTACAGGAGAACGTTCAGGAGGGGTACGGTCGTATCCCGCAGGAATTTTCCTCAACGGCTTGCCCTGATGTGCCTCAAAAGGATATAGAGGAAATCGTTTTCAAACTTTATTTTCTGTACAAGTGTTACTGGAGTCAGCAGGCAGTTTTTCAGGGTAATGAAAAAGAAGCTGACGGTAACGATCCAATCGCTTCACAATTATGTACAGTAGATACATGAGTAAGCAGTAAAAAGCAATAAGTTACACACAGATCATAATACCTGTAAGGATTGATCTACAGTGAGAAGCTGTGAAATTCAAATAACAAGCTCTGTTGTAAAATTCAAAAATCGAAACATAGGACTATGTACAGGAGCAGAAAGCGAGGAAATCAGATTGATTTCGCGAACTTGGCAAGTTTCACTATGGGCACAGCTGGACGAGATGGTCCCGGTTCTACTGGGTGGAGGCCACCGCCGACTGCGAAGGGAGCCACTGCCGAATGCTGGAAAAACTCATTATTCAGTAGCGATCGAACCATGTCAAAAGGCACGGACTTACCGTCAAAATTGGATTGCCCTGAGCCATCACCTGTGCGATCGCTTGTTTATCGTTCTCGTCCATGTGAGATGCAGATGCGGGACCGCGATTTGATGAGGATTTTGAAGCTGGTGGGAGTTTTGATAGTTCACTCGAGATAGGATCGGTCTGCTCAAATGGGAAGGTGGCGTCGAATTTCATGTATTCTGAAAGGAAGTCATGATTCACTTTACTCACACAGGGAGTGCGTCACACACGGGGGCGGGCGGGAGGTACAGACTGCGGCTACGCGTGCGCGACATTCGCACCAGGACCAAACTGATTCACGCGCTAGAACTAATGTATTTCGAACCTAGGGCACGTCGTATGTCGGCGATTCTTAGCGATGGGGGAGTGGGGGGAGGGTGGCAATCAGTTGTAAAGGTAAAAGGAGTTTTATTAGCCTTTAAGAAAATTTTGGTTGCTGACCTTTTGGGAATTTCCTCTTTTATGTGCTACCACCCCCCCCCCTCCCCTGTTCCTTGCCTGGACGACGCTTTCTTTGGGAAAAAGGAAAAGGTCAATATTCAAGAAGATGGCAGGTAATGTGGGGATGTGGGTTAGAGTTAGAGTGTCCTACAGTTAGTGTCCTACAGTTACAGTTAGAGTGTCCTACAAGACGAGCAAAATTCAAGGGGCCCATGGATTCCAAAAATTCTCCTAACCGCATTATTTGCCCATTTTGAGTCAAGTAGACAGGAACACTTGCAAGTTGCTTCATGTCGCCGCAAGGTGGACCTCATGACCGCAACCCGCAATTACTTACCAGTCAAGTCCAATCCACCACTGTGATCATGATCGTAAGTGTAGAAGAGTTTAGGGAAATTCTCTCGAGGTTTCACAAGGAATCTTTCAGCCAGGACTCTTGTTAATTCTTGCTGATTAAGCGCCATGTCGAAGTCTTCGTCGAAGTCCTGGAATGAAAAGCTTCTGCTTTCCTATGACTGGTTCCTGGAGGGGCAAAGCAAAGCTAGTTGGTCGGGACTCTAGCCCTGATTGGGGCTTGGCTTCTATCCAAATGAAGGACTCACATGGAAGACATTCGCGAAGTACTCGATGCGCCTGGCTTCACTTCGGCTGGTCACACCGTGATAGTGCTCCTCATACTCTTTCAGGGTTACGATACCGTCCTCTGGAACAGAATGGGTTTCATGACAATGTCTAGGCTAAACTTGACCCTGATGAACTTACTGTCTTTATCGAGCGAGTCGAATTCCTCCTTCTTGGCGTCCACATAGGCGAGCTCCATGTGTAGGAATTCACCAAAGTCCAATTTCTTATCCTTGTTTTTATCGACCCGTACGAACTTCTCCTCTGAAACAGCCATAATTTACGGACAGGAGCGGCACATTTTACGTTCCATATGACGTCAAGCCATCACTTTCGTTAAGGGCAACATTAAGAGCCTTTTGAATTGGATTCATTGGCCGTTCTAGGGAGAACCTGCTAAGACATCGTATTGCGCTGTGGTTTTTCCAAGACGACATCTTTGGAATGCTGTCAATGATGGTAATGGACAGCGTCCCAGATTCCGATGTTATTCTCCCTTAAACGGCCAAACCCGTGCGCCGCACATTCCATCGCCATCATCTACGCCAAAAACCCTTTGAGAGATATCTGACAACGTGCGAAACATCCTACATTGAAAATTCTGTGGGAAATCAATTCTCAGTCATATTCGCCTTTATAGGTAATTAATTTTCACCAGTTATATGGACTGGAGAGGTGCATAATAGCAGTAAGAAGAAGTAGTGGTCTGCCGCGCTGAGCTTTAAGCAAAACGGGATAACTCTTGTCTGTCTTCAGGCAGAATTCAATCCTGCATCTAAAGTTTACCACGAGAATGTATAGACGTTTTCCTTGCGCAACTCGTTCAAAAAGAAAAGTATCTGGGAGAAGCAGGACCTTACTAGGGGTATTTTCGACAGCTACATTTGCTCGTTCCTTCCCGGTAATTCAACCAGGGATCACAAATTCCGTTCTTGAACT